TAACAAGCCCGTTTATAGACTCTAGGACTTGTAGAACGATGATGATGTTTGGTAAGCTGATACAACTCATAATTTAATGAAAAGATAGTATAAAATTATGGATAAAGTTTCTTCAAAATAGTAGAAAAGGATGTCTTAATTGACAATACACCTCAAATAGAGTTAAGATGTTGAAACAGGTGATGGATTTTAGCATTTGTGTGTCTAGAATGTAAAGCCTTACGGATTCATGTCCTTTACCAATAATCTACTTCATCGTAAGATCCCGAAATAGACAATGATCGGGATAAACCGAGATACAACAATTAAGGACATGAGTAAGTTTACTCATATAAATTAAATTAAAAAAAAACTTGGGAAGACTCAACACGGATGATAAGGAAATTAATGAAGTTGGGTTAGTAGTGCCGGAACCAAGGACAAAAGAAATGGACCCATCTGCTAATATAACATTAGAAGGTGATGCATGAGACTTGGAAAGTAAAAAGAAGACTAAGATTACCTGTTATATGATATGTGACACCGGAATCAATGACTCATTTAGATGATGAGGAAATAAGACATGTAGTGGGTTTACATGACTTGATGATGATATGAGTAGATGAAGACCTTAATGATTATTGGTACTGAAAGAACTTAGCAAATTCATCTAAAAAAATGATAATAGAGTTCTTAAAGGATGAATTAGATGTAGCATTAGTAGTTACAAAATAGGCGACGGAGTATTCCGAGATCGATTTTGTAATTTTCTACAAGTTCACTTTGTATGGCTTAGCTCATGACAATAATAGCATACAACTCCTTCGGAATCCCGACTCTAATTATCAAAAGCAAAGACACGATTGCTTGTCTCCTCTCCTCTATTACAACTCATGTTATACGCACCACTTTGACTCACAATAGCACTAGTAAGTTGAACGGATAAAGTAGGCGGAATAGATAGAGTGTTGTACGTATGAAGCACCCAATTAAATGTATTTTGCAAAGAAGAAATCTCCGGATAACGAGTATTTGAGATTTAGCATTTTCAAGCTTAGGAGAAAGACCAGCTAGGAAACTCATGATAGCCATTTGCTCCCATTGAGATTACTCGAACTTTCACATCGAACTAAATGGTAACAAAAAATTAAGTTCTTTATAGGTTTTCTTAAACTCCATAAAGTAGGTTGGGAGAGATTTGTTTTGTTTCTCTGCGTAATCAAAAGCTTTGCACTCCTCATACATGCGAAAATATTTCCTTTTTCGAATACAAAAAATCCGGATATTTCATCAATTTCTTAACAAATTCGAGTGATTAATCAAACCAATTACCTCATTTATCGATGGAATTTGGTATATGCAAAAACGATCGATCATCATCCCTCTATCATGTCTATTTCGAATAATTTATGGGTGGATCTTCGGTAATGTGATTATCCTTATCAATACTCCTTGGGTAAATTCGAATGATCTTACTCCAATCCGGATAGTTGGAACCATTGAGCTTATGTTTCGTGATTTTGGACATCACGGGAATTACATAAAGCACGACTCCCGATTTCTTATCGGCCATTACTGCGAGTTATTTTTTTTTTTACACAAAAAAAAATCTTGATTTGAAAGAGATCTCACACCCGAATATATGTTGGAGCAAAATAACACGGATATATGTTGTACAAGACCGGATGAAAATAACTAGTCACTTTACAAGGGTGGCTCGAAAAATTTGCGTACTTGCTCACTTAGGCGAGATAGTTAGAGAAGAAGAAGAGGAGAATAATTGATCACTTCATAGAGCTCGATACCATGTAAAACTTAAGGACTACAAAAATTTCTTTGTGTCTTATTCATAAGCGCGCGCACACATACACACTATGTCCGTGACTCCTACAAGTCGACCTACAATTAAGTTATTGACTCCTCCAAGTCAACCTATTATTAAGTTATTGATTTTTATAATTCAACCTATAATATCCGATAATTAAAATAATGACGTGATAATTTTTTAAATTTTGAATGATTAATTTCTACCATATGTTGTTCTTCATTTGTAGTTTGTTAATAAGATAGAGAGAGACGACCTAAAATAAAAAGATAAAATTTTTTTGCCAAATTAAAATGAAATTGAAATATTTCAAAACCTATCTAGCAAAAGATAGAAACAAAAATTACACACGACTAAACTTAAATAATCAAAATAAAAAAAAATTTTAAAATAAGGATTAAAAAAAACTTTCATGAAAAGTCAAAAAAGATTTATGAGCAATAAGACTAAAAAAACAAAAACAAAATCGAGACTCTAAAAGCCAAAACGAGGGCTCGCCGATAATAAATGATTAATAAAGTCTGGATACCTTTTTTTTATATATATAGTAGAAGAAGGATAACAAAGGAAAAGTCAAAACAAAGGAAGCCACATGAAAAAGAAGGATAAAAGGTGAAAAAACTAATAGTCCAAACACACTAAATGGCATAAATGATATTTATAGTAGAAGAAAGGGGCAAGAAAAACGAAGAAAAAGAAAGGCACAACGAAAGAAGAGAGCGAGTTTTGAAAGAACGATAAAAAAAAATCGAACCAAGCGGCGGGGAAAGAAAACGAGGGCGGGGAGAAAAAAATGGTTTTATGAACGGTTAGTCGACAATTACATTGTATCTATGTAAACAGATCACTTGTACGGTAGTTTTACATTTTTTTTCGGTTAATTGGGCCTAGACTTAAGCCAAGGTTCAAGCTTAATTGAGCTCAATTCCAAACCCATCGAGTTTTCTTTTTCATTTATTATTTTTAATTTTTAATATATTGAGTTGATTATCTTTATTTACCTTATACGTGTAATAAAATAAATGTTACATTTTTATTTTTTATTTTTTAAGAGTTAATAAATGACACCTTTGGCTACCTTTTACTTTGCATTTATACTATCATATCATTAAATAAATATTGAAGAAAATTATTTAATTAAAATAAAGTATAAATTTATTCATATATATATATATATATATATATATATATATATATATATATATATATATATATATTTATTTATTTATTTATTTATTTATAATTTAAATCAATGAAAAAAATTAGGATAACTAAAAAAATACTAGTACCTTTTTTATCAGAAAGAAAAATCTTAAAATCCATCTCAAAGCAAAACATGCACAATGTAAAAGGATACATTTCACATTATTTGTATTTTATTCTTTCTTGTTCCCCGCAACCAAATAAAGACAGGGACAAAAAAAATTAATTTTTGAATTTCAAACCAAAAAAAATTAATTTTTGTCTGAACCGTTTTGTCTTGTCTCCGAACCAAATGCTATCTAAAATTGTGTTTCGTTTGAAGTTAACAATTAGAATCTAAGTCTTTAAGGGATTAATTATGAACTGGTGAAGTATTAGAGAGGTGAAGTGCTTACTGTCCACATGCTAAAAATGACTGTATGATTAAAGATATTTAATACGTGTACAAAACATTATGTAGAATGGTAGGATACAATAATTTTTAAGATAAAAATTTAAATTAAATATAATTAAAAAATAATTAATAACGAAGCATTTTAATATTTTGTCAAAGGAAAAAAGGGGTAAAATGAACGAAAAGTTTGGAGAAAAAAAAAAATCCCAATTTCCTAGTTCATCAAAGAGTTGTATTCTGCAATTGAGAAGGATGAATATCGCTATCGAAATGAAATCTATTGACTATCTCCTAATTGGTTGTACCATAGGTGTAATGATTTACTTCACAAACGGGGTCTCTATTTTAAGTTCAAGCCGACCAAATTGTGCCAAAGAAAAGAATAGAAGAAGTATCTTATTATTTCATATATGTTTCGAGTTGACTCGAAAAAATATAACTCAATTTGTATAGCGAGCACAAAAAAACCTACTATCAAAACAGATCCGAGCGAGACTTACTCTAGTTATATGAATTATGGCTTCTATTTCTATAACTATGAAGGAATTTTATTAGTATTGTTATTTTTTTATTATCATTTTTCACTAATAATAGTCACTAATTCTAATATTATTATTGCTAGTGCAAAGTTAAAAAAAAAAAAAAAATCCAATACCATTGATGAATCAATCTAAAAAATCTAATTAATTAGAATTGTAAAAAGTTAATTATACGAAGTTATGTGATTGCTAGTAGAATTAAAAAAAAAAAAAAAACATGTATTTGTGTTTTTTTGTTGACCAGGCAACACCTAAATTTGAAATGGGGACAGAAATTTACAATCCCCGCTTTACCACTAAAGCCATGTGGCCAAGAAAATGAAAAAAAGATAGAAGCACTCTCCATTTTTGTTTGTAAACTTTTTTTTTATATATATATACTTGTATTTTAAATTCTATTTCTTTTGTTTTTTTTTTTAATTGATAATGAAGACGATATTGCATGATAATGATATATTGATGTGAGTGGTGATATAAATCATGTACGAACAAAATTCAAGTCTGTCGGTTTGTTAAAATGCCTCAGCTACATACATCAAAGCACACTCGTCGTAACGAGATAAATAGCTCGCCTAACATTTTTGTATAAAAGATGTAAAAGATATATTACACGCCAATGAGACCCTAATAAATCTGGCTATGCGTCAACGGAATTTCAAATTCGTACCCCTGGGCCAACACTTAAAACCCCTTTTTAGGGGTTTTGTTAACCCCTTAAATTCCTCCCTCACCTCTAAACTTTCCCAAGCATGTTTAAAGGAGGTTAAGGGGTTAACACTTAACCCCCTTCAACCCAAAACCAAACACAACATAAATCACAGGAATCATTCCACAGTATAGCCTGTAATGCGTTAAAGATGTGCGAGTGCTCAGTACCGCTTTCAATTGGCAGTAGGAATTTAACAATTTCATGAAAACCAAGACTTGGTTCTAATGTGCCAAACACTCCTATCCCTCACTCAAAATATTTTCAAGTATTATACAATCAATAACTGAATAATACAGATCTGACAGATGCTCGTTCGTTGGAGTGATGCAGCACATTGTGATATGCTGAACTTTAGTTCCTACTGTGCAGGGATTTGCTTACTTGAGAAGCCAGAACTATAGCCTTTGCTCTGGCACTCATCATCATCCACTCCCTGTCTGCGCGACGCTGATGTTGCCTTGCATTCTTAGCTCGCTTTGGAGCTAATCGCGTGTCTCTTTCCACAAAGGCAAGTCTAAATTTTTCAGCCAGGGTCAACTCAGTGGTGCTCGAAAGAAATGGACATACAGGATTCAATGCAAACCCACGTGTTGTCCATGTGTTGGGATGGATCTCCTGAACAAATGGATCATCCAGAGCAGTATCTGGAAATGCTTCTACAGGGATATCATTTCCATTAAAGCCAAAGGGTGACAGCTTCGGATTTACTGAAATGCGTGGGCACTCAGTTGCCAAGATCTCTAATGAATCTTTATCGATCTTTGGCTGCAAAAGACAGGGCAGCGTGATGAGGAAAGAGAATAGAAGGAATGAAGGTACGAAAGAAGCAAATTGCTCCCATGAGCCAAGGAAATGCCAGATCATATCCCTCCTCTCAGCCCTCCCACAAAGGTTCTTCGATTTGTAATTGCATACGAGTGTAATGTCAACAGTAACCTTTCAAATCAATAAGGCTCACACAACAGAATTGATATCACAATGGGAGGGGGCACATAAATTACAACTCCTTACCCACACAAGCCAACGCAATGATTCTGCACTACGACTGATTTCAGCAGTATCAAGTTCCTCCCATGAGTCTCCGACCATATCATTCAGCTTTGGTTTCAACAAAGTCAAGCAGCAGCGTGCTGTGTAGTCACTCCTCAGACAACCTCTGCAGTATTAACTTTTGTTTCAAGAATGTTATCAAAATCTCTACACCTATCTAAATGCAGATGATTGCAAGGGATTAAGCAGGAGCCCTTGAGATTACGAAATAAACTCTTTTTTTGTTGCTGATTGAAAATTTTGTAAGATTCAATCTGATTTAAAGGCCACTTCCACTCAAATACAGAAAAATATCCACAAAAATGACAACACTTCTAAATTTTTCATCAGGCTGGTTAAAATAAATCACTTTCCGCTTGTCGCTCAATGAAATTCCTTATTAAAACTGGGAAGGAGCCACTAAATAGTAAATATTTGACAATATATATATATATATATATATATATATTTGAAATATTTAACTTTAGAAAATATATTGAACCCCATTGTCTTGCTTGCGTTTTCTTTGCAATATCAGAAGGAAAAGAAAGGAAAATATGATCAATTATTACCCGCATCTCAATGTTTGCAGTGACCTGCAATGCTCCACAAGTACAGAAACACCAGAAGGAGTTATTTTCTTGCATTGACTGCACAAAAGCAGTGTCGCACGATAGGCATTTCTAATAAAGTAATGGAAAATTGATAGCCTACCAAATTGGAATTAGACAAATTACTGCTTAAAGAATGCAAAAAATTATAGTATGCAGTATTTTAATTGATATCATGAAGGTCCAGCAATATATGCAAAAGAAGTGCTTAAAGAATAAATCCAGGAGAACCAGCATCATTTAGGGTCCACCAATCTATAACAATGGGCCAACAAGAATTTGTCTGTCCTCAATCCAAATGTCTATGCAGTTTCCTAGACTTTCTTCTTACCTTCTTTAAGAACCATTTGAGGTTGTAGCCTCTATTAACAATACAAAGGGACTTCGTTCCCCTTATTAGCCACCTGTCCACACATTTATCCTTGTGGTTCCACATGATATCTTTTTTGTGGCCAATGCTAATGCTAGAAATATGACCCATAATTATCTAGTTTCGGAGCTTTTCCATAAAGAAAATTAATTCTTTTGGTCAGTCTTCCCCCATAAGCTTTGACCCCTTTTAAGTGTTGCAACAGAAGATGCATTTACCTAACTTGTTCACCAACGAATACAGTAAAAAAGTCAACAAACATTTCCTCCTGATTCCACAAGGGGTTTTTAAACAAGGTAAATGTTACATGGCACAGGGAAAAAAAAAAAGAAAAAAGAAAAAGAGAGAGATAGCAAGCGTGCCTTTTGCAGTAAGAGTCAAGTAGCCAACTTGACATAGTAGAAATATTTAAATATATTTAGTATAGCTCCCGAGAGCATTGTGAACTTCCATACCTTATATCCACAGATCGAAGAGATTTACAAGTTTTGGCCAGTTCAATTAAACCAGAATCAGTAACTTCTGAACCAGAAATGTCCAGAATCTCCCAGGAGCTATCAGCTAAAGGAATGATAACATCATCGGATAGCATTTTCCTTCTCCTGGCAATTGCTGCGATTGTCATCTGTTGTGCATTAATACAACCATAAGAGTGTTGGGATAAATAATCATAAAGGACTCTATGACAGTACACAAACATTAAAGCAGACAATGGACACATGTTGGGGCGAGCCAAATGTGACCTTGCTCCTATGTATTTTTTCTAATGCATAGATTCATGGCATTGTATTAGTAAAGTTTGGGTAAAATTAATAACTCGTACAATTTTTCATGATTGCAAATCCTATGACAAGACAATATCACTTGTTGGAAGAGTAGGAGGAAGAAAAAAATTTCTGTATGCTCTTTCATTATAGAGATTACATTCATTGATGTTTCGAGAATGAATGGATGCGCATAAGTCTGAAAGAGGGAGGCATTGGAATATATTAACCAGCATTGTAGCTTTAAAAAAAAACAAAAAAGAGAAGAATTGACAAGCTGTGGAAAAAAACATTGTAGGTTGTCATATGGTGGGCATCAAATTCGATTTCCTTAATCTAGTTTTAAACCTCTCACATAATGCCATCTAAGTATTCTATACATAGACTAATAAGAATTAACAACACCTCTCGAATATATTTATTAATTTATCAAAATACACATGGAGCAATCCTCCTCTTAATAGGCGCTGATAAAATAATCCTCCACAGAACAAAACGTTGTTTATCTCTAAACAAAGTTGAAAGAAAATTTGCGATAAATTAAGAGACAGAGAGATTGCAAGATAAAGAGAGTGATGCACAAATTCGTGGTAATCATCAATGAAGGCCATAGTTTTATCAAAAAGAAAAGAGTAAGTAAAGGGTGCTGCAGCAGGTTACCTTAATATGTGGAGGAAAGTTGACGACAATATGAGTCAAGTGAGGAATAATGTCTTCCAAATGCTTCCCAACAACTCCGAGGCACAAGCTTGCTAAACTTGGAGGTTTGGACTTGTCAGGAGGACGAAGACAACCAATGGAATTCAAATCCAGTTTCTTCAAACAGCTTGTAATATCTTTCCCTTTTTCCATCAAATCCCTTTCTCCAATTCTTCAATCCTTCATTCCTTCCAATCAATAAATCTAATCTAATCTAATCTAATCTAATCAAACAAACAACAACAAAACGAAAGATTTATAAGGAAGCCGACAGAAATCAGGGAGATGATTTTTTTTTTTTTTGAGTAATGAGGGAGATGATAATCGATATCTCCTTCTCAACTAAAGAAAAAGAGAGTATGTGTATGCAACTTAAATTGACTAAAAAGCCCAAGGATAGCAACTTAAATTGACTAAAAAGCCCAAGCTTAAAAACTGCCGCAAGACTGATTGGTGGTATTTGGTAATTCAAACGATTCGGCCGGCAACTTTTATTTTGTTGCTTGCTTCCCTCGTTCAAATGATTTGATATTTGGCATTTGTTGTTGGTGCACTTGTTTATCTGGAGAAGAAGACGACGACGACGACGACGACGACGACGACAGCGTTTAAATCAATGGTGAAGGGAGGAGGAGGAGTGCAAAACCTAGCATTAGCAGCGGATGTGAGCCAGGTGATCGATCAGTTGGAACGCCACTGTTTGGCTCCTGATGGATCTCTCGTCTCCAAATCCGCCTACTTGGACCTCCAACTTGTCAGTACTATTTTATATTTTCTTTTCTATAGTATTTAATTGTTTAATTAATTTATAGTAATAGTAATAATAATTTTACAGGCCAGAGAGGAGATGTCTAGAGAGAGATTGCGCTACTTAGAAGCTATGGTATTTCTTCTTCTTTACTTTTTTATTTTTTATATACTGTTATTATAGTAATAACCAATTGTTTATATTATTTATTTATTTATGTAGGCAATTTATTGTGAAGCTATTTCAATGGTGGAAGATTATCAACAACAGGGTGTTTCCATGGGTAATCTTGGAGGAATTCGAGATGTCCAAGGCTTTAACAACTCTCCTCAGGTTTCAGACCTTTTTTTTTTCCTCCTAAAAAGATATCATTTTGCCGATAATGATAAGTGATTTCTAAAACAAACAGAAATCGAGGTAGGAAAAAAGTTGAAATAAATAATTTATCAAACTATTGGAATACTCAATGTTGATGCATGTGTATTGGAATTGGAATGCAACTTCAATTTTTTTAATTATGTGCTTACCGGGATGTGTATTATAGATCTAATCCCGGGATAATTCATTTTTCATTCGAGGATCTAGATTCGGTAAAGAACCTTCTTCTGCCTGCTTTTAATTTTAGGTTTGTGAGACTCTAGAGCACCGCTTAGTCATTGCAGAAGCAGCTCAGAAATTGAGGCTTCCTCTTATATCTAAGGATGGGGAGATCCACGAGGAGGAAATTGAAAAATGGACTGTAATGTCACAAAGCTCCCTTGATAGTACAAGCACCAGTGCCACCATCAGCTCAACTTCTAACTCATTGAATTATACAAACAGTTCTGCAAACAGCACTGTAAACAATGCCCTCTTTCTTACTTCTTATGATTTGACGGAACCTGGAGTTGGTGGTGTTCCTAATCGCTTTCTTGGCATCACACCTGCCTATTTGTGGCAAACCCATCTCCAACAAATGCCATTCATCATGGTATGTTTCCCTATGGAATGCAATCTATTATAATGCATCTAGTGTGTTCTCTTCACACATTGCGAATATATATATATATATATATATATATATATATATATATATGTATGTATGTATGTATGTATTATCCTTCTGTATTATGTCTATCTGATATTGTGCCAGCTATTGTAGGACATTGCAGAATATCAAATGTCTCTTTCATGTGAGGTTGAGGCTCGCTTGAAAGCTAAATGCATTATGTTAGCTGATGCTTTTGTTGATGATATTGGTAGGTTCTCATGGATTGCTTCATCATCCTCACGTAGATTTGCTCTTCTCTCTTTATCTGCCATATGCATGTCATCTTATCTACTGGTGTTCTTGCGACACACAATCTAGGATAAGTAGCTGTCTATCTATGAGTCATTACTTGGGGAGAAGTAGCCCTTGATTATGCAGCCAATGAAAAATTACCTTTTCAGCATCGATCTTCACATCAACCCATAATTCTATTTATTTACAATTATGATTATGCAAGTAAAAATGTAACATGTTAATTTGTATTGATCCATGAATTTGCACTGCATTTGGTTGGGGAGATATATGAGGGGGAGCAATTTTGTCACAAGAGCAAGGCACTAGTTGCTGCTCTTGGCTCTTGCTCAAGTGTAATGAGGTGCTACTTCAACAGAATATTAATAATTAAATTAAAGCAACCAACTAAACTGAATTCACTACACATAATCATCCAAGCAAGGCTTATATTCATAATTAAAGTTTTGCATCATCGTATGTGTGCGTTATGATTGGTAAAAGATTCCATGTTGATATCGTATCACATGCACCACATTAATGGTTGTATCGTGTTGGTATCATATTAAGGAATTCAAACACTATTATATAACTCAATGCAGCAGCAGGTTATAGGTAAATAATATATTGCAGCACTGCTTTCATTCTTTGAGAGAGTTAGTTTTACAAGCCAAATGACAAAACAAGGTTGTGCTGGATGGTCGCGAGAGGAGAGAATTAAGAGGGCAAACAGGGAGTATATTGTATAAATAGAAGACAAAGAGTAATGGATAAGGTGAAAGAGAGAGATAGAGATAGACAAGGGAAACAAGATTAGACTGTGTAGATGGTATAAAAGGAGAAATATAAAGGAATAAGAGAATATAAAAAGAATAGAGAAAAGGTTTGACCTTTAAAAAGCAGAAAGTATCCAGATGAGCAACTCACGTGCTTTATATCTCAACAGAGGCACTCTCACCTGGTCAATGCCCTACAAATCATCTTGCTTGGAGCCATAAAAGGCTCTAAGAGAATGAATGATTTGTCTCGGCTTAATGCCTAGGTGAGTGTCTTCACATTTGGATGGTAACAGAAAATCATTTCAACTCAAAAGCTTAAGTTTTTAGGCGAAGCCCTATGAATAGTTTTATGTTACTCTTTAACACACCTCATTGAGTGAAAGCCTTTTGGGCTTGAAACTTGCATAGGTCTACGCTACGTTGTGCTTAATTAATTAGAAGAGAAATGGGGATGGTGAGATTCAAACTCGTGACCGTTTGGTCATGAAGGCTTTACCATGCCATGTCAAAGAACCATTTCAACCCAAAAGCTTAAGCTTTTTGGCGAGGCCTTATGAATAGTTTTATATTACTCTTTTAACGAATGGTAAGTTGCATAACTTAAAAATATGGTGCTAATAAAATTCAACAATCTTGTTCAATAAACAAACGTAGTATACGTTGTCCATGTGTATAATGGTCATTTAATTTGACTTACATTTTGTTTATGCAGATTCATCACCTGTTAATCAAAATTCAACTGCTCGTCTTCCAGAGAGGTTTGGACACTCTCATTGTTACTTGAAATTTTTTCCCCCTCAATATCGAATGCAGAAAGTTGTGTTATTTCTTGATCTTGCATGTTATGTTACGGAGTAATCCAAATCCTGGTACCACTACAGGATTGTGAACTATGGCATGTTGCACTCTACTCTACATATTTTTTCACTTTATCAGGGTCAAGTTGATAATTGAGGAAATTGAAAAGGAAGAAGCAGCCCTGCGAGAGGATCTCTATTCTGCAGATAGAAAATTTGCTGAATATTACAATGTATGTTGATATGCAATTTAAATGGTTTTGGCATTTTTTTTTGTCTCTTACTTTTTTTGTAGTATTGCTTATAATCATAATGTTTTACATGATAATTTCGTCTTGAAAGGTCTTAGAGCAGATACTTGGTGTGCTTATTAAGCTTGTCAAAGATTTGAAGCTGCAACATCAACATAAATATGTGAGTTTCTAATTTGAAAAATCAAGACTATGTTTGACTGTTAAATTTAAACAATGCTTCAGTCAATGTATTTGATTTTGTTTAATGACATTTTTGGTCCCTATACTTTGGAGTTTGCTACTTATTGAACCTTGAAATTTCAGAACATTCAACTACAATTTTTGGGTTGTTTTGGTTCCTTGGTTTGATTCTATCAGCAAAGATGCGTACTTGGCAACAAACCGTGGCTCAACATTTTAATATTACTTTTCATGACCTGTAGTTATACATGGACATTTTAATATTTACTTTTGCTGACCTGTAATCATAGATGGCAAAAATTTTATCTGTGGCCAAGCACCAATTTAGTGGGGCCAGGAGCTGCTATTCCAGTGGCCTAAGGTCAACTAGATTAAGCTTCAATCCAAACTAGTTTAGGGTTGGCTACATATTTTCACGTTTAATCAGTTTTTTCATGGACAAATATTATATAAGTTGGTAGAATGCTGGATTATTCTTTGCCATTTCAACACCATTTTGGTTCCTCTAACCATCCTCTTTCTTGGTACTTCAATTTGATCACTCTCACTGATGCAGGTTCCCTGTCAGAATTGGATATGGAAGAAATGTCTTCAACTACTTCCCAAAACTTCCCATAACTTATCCCTGATAGGCACCATTACTACCTGTCCATTAAAGTAATTATTTTTTGTTGGCCCATTCTTATATGCTACACAACCATCGATCCTCATTTTAGTTGAGCACATTTTATGAACATGTTGCTGTGTCACTTTTCAACAATTACTATCATACAACTGGTCCAATTTGTTTTGTAACTTGAACCTTTTGCTTATTTGGAATATTTTATTTGCATCACACTATTTGCAATTATTAGATAACTCCTCCTTTAATTCTATAGATAACTCTTTCTCATTGTTCCCCTATTTTGGTATGATTGAACTTATTTCATGGAAATGCTAACATTTTAGCACATTTACCTCACGCAGACTAACAATTTGCCACTTATCTTTAACACTGCTAAAGTTGCAAAACTAAGTGCTTCAAAAATAAATAAATAAATTAAAAAATTAAAAAAAAGTTACTTAAAACAAAAGATTGCATCTCTCTTTCCGATCATACTATAAAGGGAAAGAAATCACTAGCTCACCTCTAAGCTCCCTATCCTTTCCTTCTTTTTTATTGGTAACCAAACTGACAAGAAAAAGGTTTACAGCCTGTCTCCTTCCTAGAGCCTCAAATTGAACAAGTTCAAGGCCCTGTCAGTCCTGCCTCTGACAAAAACTGTTTCCAACCTTGTATAGTGGCACATCAGGACCTGCACTCACCAACGTCTTCAATGGTGTACTAGTTATTATCATACCATATTGCAAAAATTACCCTCTGCCATTCCTGAGCTGTTGCAATTTTGGCTCATTTGTTGTTGTGTGATGCTCACCTATGGCAACTGGTTGTTGAATCATTGGGATGTTACTACTATATTCCAGTTGGTCCTGGTTGGCTTTATCCTTTTCAATGATTAAGTTTCTGCATGCTTGCTTTTGGAATTTCTTGAGTGGATGTAGTTCTGGAAAATTGGCGATAGATTTACATGTGTGACTGTCCTTGAGTTCGCTGTGGATATTCCAGTGGTTGGCATGGTCAAGATGATTAGTGGATGAGTATTGATCAGCAATTGTTTGCTTGCAATTTGATCTGGGTTTCCCATTTGGATCGTAGTCATGAAATTGTGGTTCCTAGGTTAATTTTCAATATGATTTGATTTTGTTTTCTTAAGAATATCATTGTCTTGGAAATTATGTTAGTGAGCACACATGCATGCCAATTGATTAAACCAAATATACAATTAAATTAACTTTTAACTGTTTGGTGGATTTTCTTTTGTTAAATGATTGTATCTGTTTCATATTAACGTGAGAGATTGTATTTGGTATTCTATCTCGAATGGGAAGTTAGGTTCTGAATGATAATCCTCCTACATTATTGTTTGGCTGGGAGGATACTAGGGAGAACAACAGAACATTGCTGGGTTTTGTTTCCATTAGCTAGCCCCCTTTTTTTCCCGCTAAGTCTAACAAGTGGGTGTTAATGTGGAGAAAATAACAGCACTTGTGCACTTTAGTATGTTTTTAAAAGTTTAAGAAGACTCCCATATGTCTGCTAAGTGTATTGCTGACCTGGGCAGCTGGCCATGTGGCATATACACATTTTTAGTAGGATTAATGCCTGAAATTTCACATTAGCTTTTCTTGCTGATGGCAGCTAAATGAGGTCTTGGGATCGGGGGTTGGGAGGGTGGGGGGTAGTGTTGGTGTTGCCCAAAGCTCCAAAAGAAAGTAGATGTAAGAAGTTATGTAATCTAAAGTTCAGGGCCTAATTTGCTGCTAACCCCAAACTATAGCAGCCAAAACTGTCATTGAATCGATTTGATTTTCATTATAGATTTGGATGCACTTCTAAATCTATTTATATGAATTTTTTTATTTTTTTATTATTTTTTTTTATAGGATGAATTACAGAAGACTTGGCTCTGTAAAAGGTGTGAGACAATGAGCGCAAAACTAAGGTTTGTTATGCTATCTGCTGTTTATATTGCTTCTTATCCCATGAGGTGCAAGAGGAAGAAGTTGTCATAAATGTAGATGTAATACATAATACATACCAGAAATTGATGGTTATTTCTTGTTACTTTAAGCTGTGAGTGCAATTCAGGGTGATGAGATCTTCTATTCTCTTTCAACCTTTGAATTTTACAATTATTCTCTCAGGGTTCTGGAGCATGTTCTCCTGCTTGAAACTTATACTCAGGAGTCAATACCAGCTCTTCATAAAATAAGGTACTAGACAATAACATTCTTTATTGTTTGTTTGTTTTGTGTTTTAGAACTTTTTACTAGTTCATTAGTGGCTTTTAATCAGTTGTATTTATATCTCAGGAAATATCTTCTAGAGGCCACAGAAGAAGCTTCTATTGCATACAATAAAGCGGTCTGTTGCATTACATCTCTGACAAAGTTTGCTACACCTATATCTTGATCATTGCTTGCTTTTAGACGTGAATTTTGTACACACTTTTCAATGTTTGTCATTGCTTAGGAATCATCCTATGGAGATATCTAAACTCCTCTGCATTATAAATTAAAAGTTCTTGTGCAACGTGATTCTTATGATGAATGAAGAGATGCTATGTGCAAGGATCTGCGTTATCCTAATACTGCATAAATCCAGAATGCCATTCTGACCAAATCTTGGAAATGTTTCAGTTTTGTTTCTGTTACTGTCGATCTTTATTTTTTATTTATTTTTCCTCTTCTGGTATTCGTTTTGAACTTTTGCCCCAACTTCCTTCCCAGGTTACACGCCTTCGTGAATATCAAGGTGTTGATCCTCACTTTGATACAATCGCAAGACAATACCATGACATTGTAAAGGTAACACCAGTTTGCATACTGCCTTTGTTCTCAAAAATACTTTCATGTTTGTCATATAAGCTCTGTCCTGCAGAAATTGGAAAACATGCAATGGACCATCCACCAAGTTGAAATGGACCTGAAACGGTTACCAGATCACCCATGCACATAATTGTATCTATTTCCTGAGTTTGTAGTCCTTTTATGCTCCGAGGACCAAACCAAATATGGATGATTGATCACCAGATGTTTTCTTTTTCCTTTTTGGCATATTTTTTCTGGTCAATTGCATTACCAGGCTATGAAAAGATGTTTTACCTTGTTTACCGCTCTTTTCTTGGAGGGATATTTTTAGTTTCTTCCAAATAATTTGTATGTGCATGGAACATATCGCTTGGATCCAGCTGGTTGTGATTATCTGAAAAGATAGAAAGACTTGAGCTCCCACTTTTAGTTTTGTTCTGCTGGCGTCGCTTCAAAACGTTTTCTTTCCGCCGTAATTACTCCAGGTGATCTGGAGATGCTTCTCTCTTTGCTTCTTTAATTCGTTTCTCTTTGTTTTTAGCTTGTTCTTGCATCGTGTGACTTTATTTCCTACCTTAGCAGAGTCATGGAGTTTGTGCGAGTTGTTTTTATTCTTTTTCATGTTTGGTTTTTATATATATATATATATATACTGTAAACTATCATAACATGTATCCTCGTAACATAGCATATAGTTAGGGATGGCAATAAGTGGGTATCTGTTACTGATTAAAAAATTATTATATAAATCTTTATCTAGTTCGTATCTGATTTACCTTATTTTATCTATCTATTTAATTATTTTAGTTGCCTATGCAGTATTCATTTAATACCTGTTAAAAATATTTTATTTTAGTCCTTATCATTTCAAAAAATTTATTTATTTATTTATTTACATTTTGTCATTTCTTTATAAGTTTTTTTTTGGTCTTTAATTTGTAAATTTTATGCAATTAGTTTTTTGCATGTTTTAAAAAAATCAAAATAAATTAGTGGGTATTAAATGATAAAGAGAGTATTTATATTAGAAAGCATATGAGTAGATATGTATTTTTTTTTATTATTATTCATTAAATATTTTTAATGGTATTTATTAGATCAGACGCAAAGATTATCTGCTTTATATCTGGTGTATTATCATCTCTACATAAATGAATGGTTGAGTTAGTTTGAAAAGCTGACATTAGGAGGTTTGAGATACGTGGGCATGGAAGTTTGACATGATTCTAAAAGAAAGTTTAGATTGGTGCTTTTAGGTACTATTTGGACACGAGGAAAGCTAATGCAGATTTGAGATAGGTGGGCATAGAATTTCCAAGAGTGGATAAAGAAAGTTTAGATTAGTGTTTCTATAAGCAAATTGTAAAATAGTCTTGCTAGTTTTGAGAAATGAATTAATTATTTCTTGTTTTAAAAACAAATTAATTAATCCTTTTTTAACTACTAATTATGTAATCTCTATATTTTTTATTTTTATTTTTTAACTTTATTTCTTTTTTTTTTTCAATCTATTAAAAAATAGGTAAAGGAAAAAATAAATAAAAATTATGAAATAATTGTTAAGAAATGTTGGTATTTTTTTTAAATAAAATAATATTAAATTAAGTATGGTTAACATTGATCAAAATACTAAATGATTAGATTTGAAACAAAGGGGGTTAATTAATTTATTTTTTAAAAATGGATGGATTAATTTATAATTTACTTGTGTTTAAGGCTCGTTTGAATATCATAAATACAAAGTGTAAAATGAGAATAAAAAATAAAAAATTAACATTTGTTTGGAATAATAATAATTTAAAATTTTTAATACATGATTTTTAAGATGAAAAGTAATAATGATTAAAAACATAAATTCATCAATCATAATGATAGTAACATTAATAAGAGTGATGATAATGATAATTTAAAATTTTTAATACATTGATCACAATCTAAGGAATCTCAATCAATCACAAAATTAGAATTTTATCAAACCATAACAACATTAAGCATTTCCATGGTCATAGGCCGAATCCGTCGCAAGACATAAATATACAATCTTTCATTATACCTACTTAGGTTGAATCATCTCTCATCAACATAATCTTCAAATTATTTTACCCTAAGCGAGCTAAGTTCATCAACAAGTTGAATCCACCCAACAACAACAACACAATAAATTATCATCATTACAATCCATAAACTCAATAGCAAATCTAATAAACATAAGCTAAAACCAAGACTACCAAGTCTCTTTAAACCATTTAATTAAGAAGCCTATAACCACATCACAACTACATTCCTCAAGTGTTCAATTTACTCAAGACATAAAATCATTCCATTTATCAAGCATGGCTGAATCTATCATGCTTCCCCACAAGCAATTCAATCATCAAACCAAATAACAACAATACTCATCAATCAATAATACAAATACTAAATCAATATGCATAACCTAGTTCAATCGACAAGTTAAATCATACCAAATCAAGTGATCTTAAGCAAAACACAACCATTCATTCAACAAGCTAAAGCCGAATTTTATCAAGCAACAATACCATACAAAATCAACAAGCCGAAGTCAAATCCATCCAAAGTCAACCAACATAATGAAACCAATCTCAATTCACACATAGCGATCACCATAACCATGAATATTTTAACAATACCGACGTAGGACCAAAATAGGCTCGAGTATTGCATGTACTCGACTTATATTCGAAATACAATAAATGCAAGCAAACAAGTCTTCTTCCTTAAAATTTCCAAACTATTAGCAAAGTGAGCATTTTCGTATGGGGTCCCTAATTAATAAGAAATAATAGGTCCACATTAAATAAAACTTAGATATAATTTTTTTAAAAAATTAATTAACATCAATTAATATTCCTATATCATATGTAAAAATATTGAATGCCACAATTTGGTCAAAAATCCATATTCTTGAAATCTAATTTAATCATTTAAATAAAATACCTTATATTAAACTAATTTAAACTATGCCTCTTATTTTCCTCAAATTCTTTTTAGATATTCATATAAAATTTAATTTAGGATTATTTCATATCCAAATATTCCATACCATAAAGTAGGATTATTTGACATTATTTTTTTATCAAAAATAATTTAATTATCATGCATTGTATTTAACTAGAAAATAATCAATGAATAGTAACTCATTAAATCAAGATTTAATACCATTATTTTTATATAAAAAAAATCCATAGGCTAGCAATTCATTTCATAAATTCAATAAAGCATTTAATAAATTCATTTGGACTTTTAACTAAATTTTTGGCCATTTAAAATTTTTTTCGGAGTTATGGAACTTTGGTTCCTAACTTATTTAAAACTAACCCATTAAATGCATTTATTCATTAACCATTATTTCATTTAATGCATTTACCTTACTAACTCTTTTTACCATATCATTTCAATTCCATACTTTTTATCATTAATTCATTAGTTACTAAATTGGGTAACCATTTAGTTATTACCTTCATTCTACCTTTAATTAGTTCCTTTCCATAAATAATTAATTCATTTAAATAATATTAATTCGTAAAGTGACCAATTAGTTTACCAAGTTAAGTAACTAATCAATCCTTATTATCATATTAACTTAACATTCAAACCATACCATTTACTATTACAAACCAAAATTTGCTTAACTTGTTACTAATTATCATATTTAACTTAACATTCAAACCATATCATTTACTATTACAAACATAAATTTGTTTAACTTGTTACCAATATACATAACCAAAATTAAGTTAAGCAAAGGTAAAGTTTCTCACACATTAACATATTAAGCACACAAAAAAGCAAGTCTTTAACTTTTTTAAGTGACGGCCCTTAATCATCCTTTTGTTCTCCTACACCATAATAAACAAAAGTGAGAGATGCCTAGTAAGTGTAAGCCATGCAATGCATGTAATGATTTTTATGTGTGTAATGCACATGATGCATTAAAAATCATTTTCACGTCTTTTAAAATTCATTTTTCTCTTCGGACGCACATGTTGGCTATATATATAATCAACCCTCTTTTAAAATATGCAATTATGAAAACTTCACAAAAACACTATATGCCTTCCCATAACATTTTTCTTTACATGCTAAGATATATACTAGATCATTCCCTTAGCATGTCCTTTCCCTCAAGAGAGGGTGATCATTCCTCTCCCATAACCTCAAGAAGGCACATAGCTATTTCTTTTTGAAAACCTTTCCTTCTCCTTTAATCAAAATCATGAATATAAAACCTCTTTCTTGATTATGATAGACAAATACATTTAAGTAAAAATAAAATAAATTTATGTAAACCTCAACACACATACTTATAAATCGAAGAACATGTAACATAAATAATAAATCAAATACATGTTTCACATTAATCAAGTATGCATGCCAAAACATGAATAAACAATGCCTTAAAATACATCATGGTCAAATTGTTTAAACAACATAATCAATTCATTTTTAACATGAGTGCAATAATTTTTCATACCATTTTATATCTCCAAGCCTCAAAATTATCATTAACCTCAAGTTAACGTCTCATTCCTTAGTTTCTCATTCTTAGTCAAAACTAGGCTAATGGAAGGGTAACTTCCATTTCTTCATTTTACGTCAAATTTTCACCTCTAACCTCTTAACCTCACATGTTTTTCATCATTTAAACATCAAGTAGGTTATTTTATCAATCAACCTAAACTTCTTACTTGGGCAAAATTTATCACAAAGTGACCAAGTTTTAATTCTTTCAATTTAACACCATAAATACTTCTAAGACATTTCATCAAATAGCTTATAAATATTAGGTAATAAAATCACTAATTTATTCATATTTTAGAGTATCCAACCACCTTGTTCTAAGAATAAGAACAACATCAAAACACATGTAATCATTCTAATTAATCACTAAAATATCACAATTCTAACATTAAAAACACATATACATAATTAAAACCATCCAATTCAAACAGACAACATTGTAACTCCAACAATTTAACCATTGAAAAATAACCAATAAAACTTCAAATTAACATCAATTATGCATCAAAATCATTAATTTCTTATGGTATAGTGAGGATTACACTTACCTCCTTGAAGTTTGGTCAATTCTTGTCTTTCTTCCTTTATTTTTCTTCTTACTCTTCCTTCCTAAAAATTTTAACCCAAATAATGTTTCTTCTTTCTTCTATGTTTGATCTTCTAAACTGATTTTAAAGTTCTTTTAGGGTGTTTCTAGGCTAACTAAGGTTTTTTAGAGTGGGGGTTAGATGATTTTCTTCTTGGTAAGTGTAAATCTTCCTTTTGGATTACTTGAACAAATATGGCTTGTAACCCTTCTTCCATCTTTTTTCTCCTTTTTTATAGCCATGGTTTTCTCCTTAAGATTAAGCCAAGAGTGTGACACTTAGTTTAATCTTAAGCTTGGTAATTAATGGCTTCTAGATTTTTATTCTTCTTTCTCATCTTTTCTTCTTCTTTTCCCTCGGATATTTTCTTTTGTTTCTTCCCTTTTTGCAGCCTCTCTTCTTCTCCTTTTCTATTACATTTTCCATAATTCTCTAGCTGAAATTGGTCCTTTAAAATCAATTAATAAGTCCCTTAAAATGTTACCATTTTACACTTTAGTCTCTAAACTTTTAATCTTTACAATCAACCTCTTCAATTTTAGTCCGTAACTCCACACTTTAGTCTCTTTGCAGCCTCTCTTCTTCTCCTTTTCTCTCACATTTTCCATAATTCTCTAGATCAAATTGGTCCTTTAAAATCAATTAATATGTCCCTTAAAATGTTACCACTTTACACTTTAATCTCTAAACTTTTAATCTTTACAATCAACCCCTTCAATTTTAGTCCATAACTTCACAAGTTCCCTCAAATTAGCCTTTATCCTAGGCCATTTCCAAGGGTAATTTAAGTCCCTAAGGTTACTTAATCATTTCAATGAAGTACCTAAATATTTAATTTTTATAATTATGCCTCTAGGTTTTGCAATTTCATCCCTATGTCAAAACATAACCCTAACAATTAGTATTGCCAACCTCTAATTCACTCTTTAATTAATTCCTTTACCTTTCAATTAATTCATTTATCGTCCATAATAATTAGATTTGCATTAATTTTATTTTTATCCAAGCATAATTTTTCAATCCCTACTTTAAATAAATACTCATACATTAATTAAATGAATAAATTTTACAAATATAATTATTTTAATCCTTTAATTAACACCTTAATTAATTCATTCAACTTCCATCTAATTCATTTACCCTCCATAATAATTATGACTACATTAATTTATAATATAATTTATCAATTTTTATTTCAACTAAATATTCATCTATTAATTAGATAAATTATTTTTACAAATATAATTACTCTTAAAGAGGTTTTTAAGTCAAGGATATTACAAATATCCATCAATTAAGTTTAACTAATAATTAGTCACATAACTCAAAAATAAGAATTTCCAAATCTTGCATGAACACCACATTACCCATGCTAAATCAACTACAAAACACTTATCCATCATTAATACAATATTTAATTTTTAATTAATTGCTTATTCAACAACTTCATAATGTAAAATCACTATTTAGTAACTAACCTAAACCCTAGAATTTCTAAATTTATACGAACACATCATTTAACATATTCATTCATTAATTAAGTATATGTTGTAACATCATCACAACTAATCTTTTATCAATTTCATAATCTAAGCATCAATTGCACATAATTCAATCAAATACACAATTAAAAATCTTAGGCTTCACAAGAATACAAATTTCCAATTCCAACACATAATTATCTTAAGCCTTATGGTGAGTTAAGGTTACACTTACCTTAAGTTTGATAGAAAATGAAATCACCTTAAAATCCCCAAAAATCATACATCTCTTCCTTGGCCAAATATTCGGCCAAAACAACCCCCCATCTCTCAATAATTTTCTCCTCTTTTCGACCAAGCTTACTTCCTTTGGACAATTTCAACTTTTTCTGTTGGTAAATTACGATTCTCGATTGCTTTCTTTCTTGTGATTTGGTCTCTCTTACTCTCTTTCTCTCCGAGTGTTCAAGCTTTCCCTCAAAGATGAATGGAGGCAAATGAAATGTCAAGTGAAAATTAAGCAAAAATTCTCCTTTTATTTCTCTCTCTTAGTTGAAATTTTTGTCCAAAATATCCTTAATTAGTTACATGTCCTAAGGTGATTATTTTATACTTGAAATATTTTAATTTAGATGGACCACTTAATTAGGATATTATTTTCTAGGTTAATATATATTTAAGTTACTAATTAAATTTTAATCTTAAGTTATACATGTATGAGAATCATTTAATTAAACTATATTTTTTAAGATTTTTATTTTTCAATTAATTCACTATTTACACATAATACTTAGCAAAATATTAATTTGACAAACAAAACATTTATTATCAATAACACAAACATAACATGAACAAACATAACAAAAATAAATATTCACACAAAACATAGAAATTAAATCCCACTATTACAAATGAGAAATAGGAAATCTAATATCTAAAGTTAGATTAAGTGTTCTTTTTTATCTCTTGAACCAAATCCTTAAATGCATCTTAATATTCTTATTATTATACCAATTGCGATGATAAACCTTGTCATCTTAAAGAGGAAAAATAAATATTCTCTCACACACAATATATATATATATATCAGAGCACGAAATTGTCTATATAACGTTATTAGTCGGCAATCAAAACCCAAGACGGTCAAGTTGAAGATTTGACTCGTATGATATAGCACAACAAAATAAAACAACTGGCAGTCCAACGTTCATATTTTGGTGTCCCCACCAGGTACAAAACCATTGTTTTGTAAGGTGAAAAAAGACGGGAAGAAGGAAAAAAGATCCGTTATTTTCAATGAAGCATTCGAGTCAGACAAGTAGGCCACCTTCCTGATACAACGTCTCAGATGTAACCTCATGCTTTAATCTCCTTCAAGTTTTAAGACACGTGTACGGCTGCAGCTTTGAACCAAGAAATCTTAACACCAACTGCACCAAAAAAAGGCGAAGTAGGTGTCAAGGGTGGGTGCGGGTTCCGTTAGTTCCGCGTTGACGTATTTGGTTTAGGCTGTATTTTTTCTCACCCACGTGGGCTCCACCACAATCCCCACCCTCTAACCCCACCTGCTCACGATGATCCGAACATGGTCGCTCGCATTTCAATACTTTAGCCTATAAAAATCACGGGCATGCAATAATAATCCCAAACACAAAATAAATAACCAATCCAATCCTCCTCTACCTAGCTATAGCTAATTCTCATCACCATCACCATCACCATCACCATGCTTTCTAAGAACCATAGCGTACCATCCCTCGCCATATTCACTTTCTCATTTTTATTACTCTCATTCTCCGCCTTTGCTGCAGGTACGTACTGCTCACTTTTCCCTAAGTTTAGTTTCTTGCAGTAGATATTAGCTGCTTATATATTGTATTATTATTGCAGGTACAATCGGAGTGAACTATGGCCGGGTAGCCAACAACTTGCCCACACCAACGAAAGTGGTGGAGCTTCTAAAATCACAGGGAATCAACAGAGTCAAGCTCTACGACACAGACTCAGATGTTTTAACAGCACTCGCCAACTCAGCCATAAATGTCGTTGTGGCTCTCCCTAACGAGCTCCTCTCGTCGACTGCTGCAGACCAATCATTTGCCGACGCCTGGGTCAAGGGCAACATCTCTCAACATTTCCCTCAAACAAAGATCGAAGCCATTGCTGTTGGCAATGAAGTCTTTGTCGACCCAAAAAACACAACGCCTTTCCTTGTACCAGCCATGAAAAACGTACACAATTCTCTTGTGAAGTTCAACCTTTCTTCTATTAAAATCTCATCTCCTATCGCTCTCAGTGCACTCGAAAATTCCTACCCATCATCAGCCGGATCCTTCAAACCCGAATTGGTTGGACCCGTAATTAAACCCATGTTGGATTTTCTACGTCAAACCGGGTCGTACCTTATGATTAATGCATACCCGTTTTTTGCATACGTTGCAAACTCGGATGTAATCTCATTGGATTATGCATTGTTTAAACAGAACCCGGGTGTGGCAGATTCGGGAAACCAGTTAAAATACTATAGCCTCTTAGAGGCCCAACTCGACGCCGTTTACGCAGCCATGTCAGCAATTCAATACGATGACGTAAAGATGGTGGTGACAGAAACCGGCTGGCCTTCCATAGGGGATGAGAAAGAGATCGGTGCAAGTGAAGCAAATGCAGCGTCGTATAATGGGAATTTAGTGAAGAGAGTTCTGACTGGAAATGGGACCCCCTTAAGACCGAAGGACCCGCTTGACGTTTACTTGTTCGCATTGTTTAATGAGAACCAGAAACCGGGTCCCACATCGGAAAGGAACTACGGTTTGTTTTATCCAAATCAAGAGAAAGTATATGATGTCCCATTTACACTTGAGCAGTTAGGGAATGGCCAGTCAACGCCGGTCAACAAGAGCAAGAGTCAGGTTCCGGTAGGGAGTGGCGGTGATGTATCGACGACATCATCGGTGGGACAGACCTGGTGTGTGGCAAATGGGAATGCTGGAGCTGAGAAACTCCAAGCTGGGCTTAATTATGCTTGTGGTGAGGGAGGGGCCGATTGCCGTCCGATTCAGGAAGGTGCCACGTGTTACAATCCAAACACGGTTGAGGCGCACGCATCGTATGCTTTCAACAGTTATTATCAAAAGAAAGCTCGTGGTGCTGGCACGTGTGATTTTGGGGGTGCGGCTTATGTGGTCACTCAACAACCAAGTAAGTATAGTATTATTTATTGTCGTCTGGGAAACAAAATCGTATTATTTATTTTGCTGCAGAATCATTAAATAATATAAACCAGTAGAGAAGTACTAACAAATCGACAAATATTAATTGGTTAACAGTCAGGCATACGTCTCTACAGTATAGTTTGAAAAAGAAAGAATAAAAAAAGGGAGAGATAATATATATATATATATATACACACGCTTGTTTAATTCTCATTCCGATGATGATGATGATGACCGTGATTTCTGCGTAATTATAATTATGGTAGGTGCTCGCAGGTGTAGAGACTATAACTCTAAACTTTTTACTTTCTTCAACTCGATCTCTCTCTCTCTATTTCATTATTTGATTTGAGTGTGGGCTAGCTGACGGTGAAATGTTTTTGTTGTTGTACGTAGGAATTGGCAAGTGCGAGTTCCCAAGTGGAGGATCGTGATTGGATAAATTAATATGGCATGATGGCGAATTTTAGATGATGGGGATTATTTCATACTAGTGGATTGGATTTAGGGAATTGCAGTCCAACGTGTGTTATGTAGTTAGTATGTATATACTTACTCCATACAGTCAGTTTAGTAGTACGTAGTTATGATTGTTATCGTTTGGTTTGACTATTTAATTGGAGTTGGTCTTATATAATTTATATGATTGTTATTAGTATTGCTAGATGTTGGTTATAAACCATTTTTTTAATATATAATTTAATTCGCTAATGTAATCATCACTTAAAATTAATGATACTCTTCTTTCCTCTTTTTAATTAATTAATTTTTATAGTAGCCAATTGGTGGATAGGAAATTGAGATGGACTTTATGTCCTCAATCTCACGCAATTTTCTTTTTCGTTGATTTCTTTTCGAAACTTTATGACTAATTTGGTATGTTACGGGAGGACATATTGAATGTGCCGCTTTTAGACAACGTACATACCGTGCAATTTAAGTATGCGTTAGTTGCAAATTTTCTTAACGAAACCAGCAAACTCTTCCACATTAGGTCTTGCAGATGAAGATTTCCTTCTTCTAATGGCATCGGACAATGAGATAGAAGCAACTTTCTTTTCACGTCGTACACAATTGCATGTGTGATTTCATCATTAGTAAAAGCACACTTCAAATGGCACTGTAGCTTCGTGAAAAAGAAAGAAAGATATTTTTCAATTGATTTTTTTTTTAATGTTTTAAGAAATGGAAGAGGGAAAAAAATAGATGTTATGGAAAGTTTGATGATAAAAAAAGATATATTTAAAATAATTTAATATCAAATTAGGATTGGTCAGCCATAGTGAAAATAACTAATTAATTAGTTTTTAAAAATAAATGATTATTTAATTTATTTATTTTAATTAAATAAAAAGACTAATTTATAATTTACTCAATAGCCAATGATTGTCCACATTAAGCCTAATATTGTAGTGGTAATATGAACCACAAAGGCTAAATTAAGATATAAATTACAAAGTTTATATCAATTGTGAAAGCCGCGAGGTCCAAATCATTATTAAACAATAACTTTAAATCAAGCAGTAAATATATAACAGTAGATTGGTTAATTGATACTAAACCTTAGGGGTTTATTATACTAAACAATAAAAATTAACATGGATCGATAAATCATAAAGATTTATGTCAATAAACTATAGAGACTTTGCATTGAATAGAGGGCATCGGAACTAAAAAAAAAAAAAATAATTTAAAATACATTAAATTAAATGATAAAAAATGAAATAAATTAAAAACTTGTAAAGAAATAGATAAATAAAGCATATAAGACAGATACTATCGGAATTAAAGGAATTAGCGACGGTCTAGACCGTCTCTTATTCTCGTGAAAATCGTCGTTAAATTTCATTAGCAACGATCTTAAAACTTGTCTCTAAAATGCTTGTTACTAAAATTTTATGACGGTTATTCGGCCGTCGCTAATTTAGCAACCAAAAAAATCGTCGTAAAATTAAAAAAACCATCACGAAATTAGTGGCGATCTAGACTGTCTTTAATTCCATTGCTAATAGTTTATTTCCAATTAATTTTTTAATTTTACTCGCATTTTAAATCTTTTAAATTAATCAATTGCTATTTAAAAATCTAAAAAAAACCCAAAACATAAATTTTTAAAAATTTTATAATATTTATTAAATTGTAATAAATATTTAATTATTAAAAGTAAAAAGTTTGTTTTTATTACAAGAAAATATGAAAGCTTGGAGATCGACGGGGTCATCACTTGAAGGTTGGGTGGAATCGTCGCTAGTGTTAGGCACGACGGATGAACCGCCTTGCTCGCATATTCAACAACATATGCTTGCATTTGTCTCATCGTCACATGTTACTCTTGAGTGTACTCCTTCAACTCATTTGTTGTATCTAATGATGATGTCACAATACCCCGTAGATCCCGGATCTCTTTCATATGTGTTGCATGTTGATCCTCGGATTCTTTTCGGATTGTCTCATCACTAGCATGGAATCGCAAAGTTGTTGAATTAGAGGCTATACTTAGGTCGAGTAATAGTGAGAGACTTGTGATCCGAGTATGTACGTCCTCTTCCTCTTACTATCTCTTCCTCCAGTGACCTTTTAAAAAATCTCATTAATGTTGATATTGATCGATAAAGTCCCCTCCGTCCGTTGGTTAGCAACCTCCTCGTCAATTATTTTTTTGACGGTCTCCTACATAAATGTGAAAGATATAATATTAAACAATTATGTCAACTAAAGTTATAAATTAATATGTATAAAATAACATTATAAACTAATAACTTACTTCGTTAACTCTTGCTCGTCATCTCGGATTAGGCAACGAACTCGGGTTTTACTCATTCCGTATGCCATGCATCCCATATGTCTTGTGAGATATATGTCGGCTTAGGGCATCTCTTTAGATGATAAAGGAAATTGGAATACCGCTTTCATGCCGAATTTGCCATGTTTTCTTAACGTTGTCCTCGATATTATTGTCCCACGTAAATAACTTCTACAAGAAAATTAATAATATTCATTAGTACTTTTAATTGGATATTATTATTTCTTTATTTAAATATGAAGTAATGTAATTAATTAATTAATTAAAATATTACCTTAAACTCTTGCCAATAGAAGTCTTTTGTTTTCGGACTCATGTTCTTCCACGTCCATCTGGATATATCAACATACTCCTAGAATATCTTATAGATCCGATGAATGCAAATATTAGAAGGATACAACCTATGAAAGCAAACATTAATAAAATAATTAAATGAATGCATAATAATGGTAATAAAGAAAAATATGTTTTATAAAATTATGCATAAAACGTACTCATTGTCGCCAATAATAATGACCATAATTCGAGGATCGACCGTAGATCCGATAGGTTCCGAAGCCAATGTGGGAGGGACATTCGTGACGAGTCTTGTTCCGAAACAAAACGATTGTCCTGTTGGACCAAGGGCACTAATGACGATGAAAGGAAAGATGGGCGAGGACGTAGAGGTCCAAAAGGGTACGGCTCGAGCCGAGAGAAGTCATACGTTAAAGGATTTATCACGAGGGTAGCGAGAGGGTACGTGTTCATGGGGGGAGCCATCCGACCGAGGAATGGAAAGAGGATAACATCCACATCCACGGTCACCGTCGAATTAGTATCCGAACCATGACCCTCACAATATCCCATGGGCTAATGCATGCGAGAATGAACCCTACGTCGAGGCATTATAACCTACCTATTATTGCACTCATTAGTATTAAAATTAAATATTAATACTAACATTTTACTAAAATTAAAAAAAAACTATATTAACAACCAAATTAATGATACGATGCACGTAATTTTATATATTTTTAAAAAATAAATTAATTACCAACTATTACACTTAATTTGAAAATAAAAAAACTAGATTAACAACCAAATTAATAAAGTGATGCATATAATTTTATATTTTAAAAAATTTCTAATAAATTAATTACTAAATGAATTACCAAATTAATTACCAATGATTGGACTTAATTTAAAATTTAAAAAACTAGATTAGCAACCAAATTAATGAAACAATGTACGTAATTTTATATTTTGAATTTAATTGTATTAAAGTATTTATAAACTCGTATTTTTCTTGTTCCACTAAGTAATTTATTATTTTAAACACAAATTATAAAATTTACTTATTAAGTAATTTATTTAATCAATAACTAAATAAATTTAATTAACAAACAAATAAATTGAATTAATAATTAATTATATATTTGATACAATACTTTTATAATATAATTGTAAACTAATTTTCTCAATTAACAACGTAATAAATTATTACAAATTAAATTTGAGTTGACACACACACACACACACACACACACACACACACACACATATATATATAATTAAAATCACACAAATATAATTAAATAATTTAATTTGCCTATAATTAATTAATTTTATTAATAATCACTTAATAAAAAATTAATAGTTTAATTAATTAAACTAATTACACCACCAATTAAGTATCTAAAGATCAAATAAATATTTTAAATGCAAACAATTACACTTAAATTAATAACTAACTAAATAAAAATTATTAAATACATAATTGTTTAGACTAACTCTTAAACAAATATTAAAATACAAATAATTACACTTAATTTAATAACTAACAAAAAATTATTACTTATTTAAAACTAACTAACAATCTATCAATAAATAATAAAACAACAACAATTAACAATTAAAATTTCTAAATACCAAGAATTAAGCTAACTAATTAATAATTAAAAAATAAATAATTAACAACAATAGCATAATTAACAATTAACAACAACAATGACATTAACATTTAACTAATAAATAATGAGCAACAACAACCATTAACAACAAAAATTAAAATAAAATTAAATAATTGTAATAAATAAAAAAAATGAAAAGATGGGTTACATGAGGGAGAACCTATCACCAACAAGAAGGAAGAGTTGTCTGTGGAGTAGGCTGCTATCGGTGGAGTCGTTGAAATAAGAGGAGTGGAGGAAAGGGGGAGAAAGAAAAAGGAAAGGGAGGAAGAAAGTGGGAGAGATGGAGGGAGAGAGAAAAATAAGAGAAATGAGGAGATTGAGAATGAGATTTGAAGGAAAATAAGGGAAAGGAGAAGATTTGAAGCAAAAAAAAAAAAAAAGAAAAAGAAAAAAGAAAAAGATGGAGTTCATGGCTAGAAAGAAGAAGAAGAAGAGAGGAAAAAAAATTTAGGGGAAAAAATCGAGGGAGAGGAATTTAGTGATTGGAAGTTTGAGTGACGGTCCAAAAATCATCACTAAAATTGTTGCTAATTGTTAAAACAAAAATTCAAAATTCAAAATTCAAAAAATCTTTGCCCCCGCAAACAGAAAAAAATTACGGATGTTCTACGGATCGTGTCTAATATTTGGTTCTTTGTGACGGTTTTTGGGAAAAAACTAACGCAAATTAGTGGCA